TATGATGCACTTGGAAGAGGGAGCCCGAATCTACTCTTTTATGAACATGTTGAATTCGGTTTACATACTATGTATCCCATTGCCTGAGCTAAATGATTCAATCACCACTGTTTTTTTTATTGTTTTCGTTTCTTTGATTATTAGGAGAAGTCATTATTTAGGGTAAATTATTATGGCATCCCTTACGGAATTTGACTATTGCAAGAGGACCTTCATAGTTTATGAAGTTACAACAAAATCCTTTGTAGTTTGGGTTGTATTTTACGAGGTACCTCGCTGTTAGTCAATAGTTAATTGACTACTAATGATACCATCACACTTTTTCTTTAAAGTACCTAATTTTACCCTTACGATTTACGAAACAAAAAAAAAAAAAAACTGAAAACACAATTTTCTGAAAAAAAAAAAACCTAATAACTCCTTACAGTTGACTAACCTTAACTGAAAACAAGCCGAACCAATAAACACCTTACAGTTGACTGACTTTAACTGAAAACAAGGTGAACCTTTCCTCAACCTGAAACCTGACCGAATGACCCTGCATAACATGCAACCCAAATCTATAGGACTACTACCATAAAAAACCCTTCCCTTCCATTGGACTTTCCACCACAAAATCCCTTTCTTGGAAACCCACTCCAGTGCCCTCTGTCTACAAAAACCCAAAGCCAACAAACCCCACTTGGACTCAACCCCTCACCCTAGTTGGAACCCCTACCACCTCAAGTTGTACCACCTTAACCCAAATTGATAACCAGAATCCGCCATTCCCAAGCCTCATCCCCACCATCGTATTCACAATCATCAAACTAGAAATCTCAGTAACACGGACACATAAACGCGACATTTCTCAAAGAAGTAGGACACGAAAACGTCAAGAGACACGTTGTAGATAATTGTGTTTTATATATAAAACTATATAATTTATCAGAAGTATAGTGATAGTGGTATATTATTCATAAAAAAATTTAGTTTTTTATGATAAGTAAATGTTATCTCTAATCATTTAGCGTGAATATTTACAGTAACATCATAATAATCAATAATAATCAACTTTTCGTAGACATGTACTATACATATATTCTCATCTCTATTGCTCTTTTCTAAATTTTTTATGTATCTTTTGCTTTTGCTATTATATTTTGAGTACAACTTTAACATATCTAGTTTTGGTTGTTATATGTTCTCTCATAGTATTAGATATTTAATGGTCAAATTTTTAAGCTTTTTAATTGAATGCCAACGGATGTTTATTATTTAGTACTAGACATTCTTTAAATAAGTGTCGGATGCGTAGCCGAAAAAATGTTAGACACAGGACCAAAATTAAAATTTTATCATTTAATTATGGACACGGATAAAAGAGTATCGGACATGTGTTTGATATTGTTCGAGGAGTGTCAGTATCCGATACGGATACGTCACCTTCTTGAGAGTGTATGCTTCATAGATAGGGAGGTTTGATGGGAGCTTGAATTTCGAGAGGGGGGGGGGAAAGGGTTCTTGTTGGGGTTTTGTGTTGAGAAAATAAGAGATAAATAATAGGGTGCGGTTGGGTTTGGGCCATTTGGGGGGTCTTTCTCTCTCTCTCTCTCTCTCTCTCATTCATGAAAGGTGGAAGAGGAAGGTGGATTATATAAAGGGACATGTTTGGTATTTTGCTTTCAATTACTGGTCAAATGGTAATTGAATTGCTTCTATCAACACCAACAATGTAATTTAAGAACTATAAAGGTATCCCATGCAATTGTCAAACACCATAGGGGTTGCACTGTGGTTTACACTATTATTTATGGTTGCTTTTATCATGATCACCATATGATATTAGAGGCCGTTGCAATTACCTTACTTTATGGTGGACAATATATTTCCTTTACTTTATGGCCCAAAATGCTTATTGTTTTTCCTTTAAAAGAAAAAAAAATATTTGTGGGGAACTCCAATTTGCCGAATTTATATCTCGAACATATTTTAAAATAGACAAATCTTGTGACATTGTATCGTGCAATGGTTGAATGAACGGGTTTTCATGTATAAGAAACCATATTTCAATCTGAGGACAACGAGTTTGTTATAATAAAATCACAGGATGTGTCTATTTTTTTTCAGGCTTAATTGCAAAAAGTCCCCCTATACTTGGGAGCGAAAGCAGACGACCTCCCTCAACTAATAACTTTTTCAATAAACCTCCCTGAACTCGTGATCAAAGTACAAAAATGGATGCCCGTTATTGGATGTATAAAAATACCAAAGTATGCTTGTCATTAAATTCAATTTTCAAGGTAATGCCCATGCCCTATTGTTATCTTAGACTCTACCTCTTTGTCTCTCATCTTCTACTTTATTTTCCAATTCTCATAGTAAAATTCATAAAATCACTTAAATCTAATACATACCCGGTACAAATTCAATACACACCCAATACAAACTACAATCTAAACATCAAAAACCATTTGATAGAACAAATTTTTTTTCTTAACCCTTTATTATGTCTATTCCAATTCAACAACCCAGTACATCTCTTATCCATTTTTCTCTTCCAATTCAAAACATACCTACTAAACTGAATTGATAAAAAATCTAAAAGACTAACAACTCTCTCTCTCGCCTTTCGTGTTTGCATATATATATATACCAATTGCAAGCATACCAAGAAAACCCAACTGATCAGAATCCAAATACAAACAGCTGTCTCCCTCGTTCTCTCTCATACCAAGAAAACCCAGTTGATCAAAAATCCAAGACACAAACAATTCTCTCTCTCTCTCTCTATATATATATATATTCCAATTTAAAGGATACCCAAAAACTCAATAGGCAAACACTCAAGAAACAAACAACGCACTCTCTCTTCCCCTTACCAATTAAACGCATACCAAAGGATTTAGATCCACATATGACCTAAAGACCAGTACATTAGTGACCTATTAGGTGGAGGAAGTTGACAAGTTTTGTTGGGGAGAAAGCATACATTTTCCCCCCTCTTATTGGTAAGATAAAATTGTAATCTCCTCCCATACTATTTTAAGTTTTGAAATTTTTTATATTAACAAGTCAAATGAATTTTTGGCTTGTGTGAGACACGCACTATCAAATATGACGGGAATCCTTATTTTTCCGTCTTGTTTTTAGATTCAGGGTGGTTTAGTGCAAAAGTTTAAAGTTAAGGGTGGTCGTCTATGTTGGCCCAAATGCAACCTAAGAGGGGAGGGGTTGAATTAGGTTGTGTGAGTTAATGCCTAATTTTTAGCTTTCATGTATTTATACTATTTATGCAAAGAAAACAATTATATGAGAAATTATATGATGTAAATAATTGTATAATCAACAAGGTTATGTGTGTGATAGGGAATTTATATGATAAGTAATATAATATAAATGATGCAATTAAGTAGTAGGAAAGAAGAAGAAGAAACAAGATTTATAAAGGTTCAACCCAGACATGATGGTCTACGTCCTCTCTTCTCCTCGAGTTTCTCTTCACTATCTCGATCTCCTTCAATAGGTGAAAATCAAACTGCTTACAAGCTTTGTTTTCTTCGGTAGGTGAAGAAACACCTTCACAATCTCAAGCTCAAATGATACAACTTTAAGCTCATTCAATACAAAATTATTCTCCTCTCTTTACAATAAAAAGTACTCAAATAAACTCAAAGAGAGAGAAAATCACAATTGGCCTACTAGTCAAAATCTCACAATAATGATCTTTACTCAATGTGTATATAAGCCTTTGAATGCTCAAGAAGTCCCCAAGAACTCCCTCAAAAGTCATGCTTCTTCAAGCCTTGAAAGCAAATGGCCCCAAAAACTAGCCGTGCCCAACGGATACATCCAAAAGGCTGTCCAGTCGACTAGTTACGCACCTGGAAGGCAAGCCAAACATTCTTTCCCAATCTGAAAGCCATTTGGTAGGCTAGATTCCCCATCTGGTAGACCAGATCCAATTTCTCTCTGTGCACTTCCCTCCACTTCTAAAGTGATTTTGACTCTCAAAACGTTCGAATCTGCTAATGCCTATTTTAAAAAAAGTTGTAGCCCTCAATGTCTACTTGCTAACCCTGTCAGAATCAGGTTAGTTGAATATCTGAGTAAAAATTTATGTCCAAATACCGAGACCATATCTGATTTTCTTGATTGTTTGAATCCATGCATCACCTTCAATTTTCATGCCCTTTTTTGCCTAGAAGACATTCAAATCTGAAAATTGCTAGTTAACATCAACTTGTAGATCTTGAAGTCTTCTTTCTAGCCACATTTGAATCAAGTCAATTGGACATTTGTTTCCAAAGTTATTCTCACATAATCGAGATTATGTCGAACTGACTTATTTGAATATTCTTCTTTCTTGGTTTGTTTCTTCGGCTCTTTTGCCTTAATTCTTCAAATCTTATTTTCAAATATCATAATTGTCTTCCTAACTTGAATAAGTATCATATAACAATGATTCTTAAGCTCTTCAAGTTCTCCTTTCATACTCATCACCTACAAGGTTGTTGAAGAAGCTTCTCATGCTCAGTTCTTTTCATCTTCACTCAACCACTTTATTTATGCCCATTCTCTTTATGTAGCATCTTCTTATCTTAAATCAACTACTTTAGCCATGCTCAATCTTTTCATTGCTTTGCATCTTCAATCATCCAATTGAGCATTTCACCTATGCACGGCTTCTCCTTTGGTTGTTCATACCTAGTGTGACACATTTTCCATTTAACTACATCTTGTGTTAAACATGTGCAACACTTTCAACCAAACTCACAAGAAGATGATTAGTGATACAAGAATGTTTGTTATCATCAAAATTTTGCTTAACCAAGCATAGGGTCAACAATCTGCTTCCGCCCTTAAGTATAGGGGGTCTTCTTGAAGTTAATCATTTTTCTTTTGATAGGAAACAAAACTTTTATTAGTATTAGTAAAGTAGTAACCAAGGAAGGGGTCTATTTACTAACCCACCCCCAACGCTAGTTGATGGCCTTTCTAACAACATAGGCATTAAGTTTATGGGTATATTTTCTTTGTCTTCTTCTTTGATAAGTGATTTACAGTTCCATTTCTCTAAGCAGGGAGGTGTGGGTTTGAGGTTGAGAGTGTTTGATCGGATTATGTGCTTTGCAAACTGTCACTTGGCTGCACATTTGGAAGCAGTCAATCGCCGCAATGCTGATTTTGATCATATTTTTCGAACAATGACCTTCAGCCGATCTTCTAACCTACTTAACAATGCTGCTGGTATGTTGCCATACCTGCTCTTGTCTTGCTCTCTTGCCTTCTCTACATATTTATTTTGGCTGCTTTATTCTTCTGGCTTTCCATGGGTACTCTCTGTTGCAGCTGGTGTCTCAAGTGCCGCTCAGACGCTTCGTGGTACAAATGTATGAATATATTTGATTGCTTATACTTGGGTCAATTTATTCTCGAATTTGGATCACTAGACTTGGTTACAATGCCTTTTTTTCACCAACAGGCTGCAGGAATCAGTCCTGCAGAGGGAAAGCCTGATTTGGCTGAAGCCGATATGGTCGTTTTTTGTGGTGATTTTAATTATCGGCTTTTTGGAATATCTTATGATGAAGCGAGGGACTTTGTCTCCCAAAGATGCTTTGATTGGCTTCGAGAAAAGGATCAGCTGAGAGCCGAAATGAAAGCTGGTAAAGTTTTCCAAGGAATGCGCGAGGCACTTATCAGATTTCCTCCAACTTACAAATTTGAAAGAGGAAAACCAGGTTTAGGAGGTATGGTATAATTTTAGTGTGTGTAATATTTCCCATCTGGCTTCATACTAAATGTAACGCCAGGAATTGTATTTTTTTCATTGGGAGCAGAAGTTGATATTGCATTGCAAATGTTTCTTTTTAATTAATAGTTGAGTTGCTTCAGCATAAAAACTAAAAATTTCTGCCCATCACTCTTAGGATATGATTCTGGGGAGAAGAAGCGCATTCCTGCCTGGTGTGATAGAATACTATATAGAGACAATCGGTCGGCTCCAACGTCCGAGTGCAGTTTAGAGTGCCCGGTGGTCACATCCATTTTACAGTAGGTGTCATGCGTGGCTTGTTTCTTGTTAGGTTCTTTTTTTTTTTTCTTTCTAGTTTTGTTTAAACTTTCTTCTATATGAAAGGTATGAGGCTTGCATGGATGTCACAGAAAGTGACCACAAACCTGTCCGTTGCAAATTCCATGTTGAAATTGCCCACGTTGATAGATCAGTGAGGAGACAAGAGTTTGGGAAAATTTTTCTGTCCAATGATAAAATCAGGGGGTTGCGTGAAGAGCTACATTATGTTCCAGAAACAGCTATTAGTACCAACAATATAGTCCTTCAAAACCAAGACACATGCAGCCTAAGAATAACCAACAAAAATGGGAATGACAAAGTCATATTTCAAATTGTTTGTGAAGGTCAGTCCACCATCAATGAGGATGAGCAAGCACGGGATTACCGTCCGAGAGGTGCCTTTGGATTTCCCCGTTGGATTGAGGTAATGGTTGATGCTATTATTTTAAGTGCAAATACTATATTTTTTTTTTGCTTTGGATTTCCCTGTTGTCTTTAGTTGATGCTGTTAGTACTTAAATTTCAAAACTTGGTTTTCATGCTTATGCTGATAGATTGGCTTTCCAAACATAGCATACGGATGCCATATCTTCAAAAGAATTTTCACTCTTCGTTCCATTTAACTTTGGCAGAGCATAACAATGGCTGACCAGACTACCATCTCTTTTTGAGGTGCTCTGTTAGGTCATCCAATAAAAAAATCAATTGGCAATGAATGAAGAGGCTTCTTTACCATATAATCATTTAATATAGGATATAAGCTTTCTTTACATTGCCTCACATGGGATGCGGGCTCACTCATGAGGCTAATAAACAAACAAACATACATGAATACCAAAAAATTCAAATGAGGAAGAGATTTGACCAAAACCACGTAAGATCTAGCTCTGATACCATGTTGAAGTATCTAATTCAAAATCAATTGGCCTTACATCTTTCAACAGCACCCATCAACCTTATTTTAGTCTTATATACCCACCGACATCCGACCACCAATGACTAATGAGCCTAATAACGGCGAGAGCCACCTCTCCCCAAAAGAGCTGGGAATAGGTGCAGATAAAAGCAATGAACAAACAATCTCTATGATGTGTATGTTGCTTTGCTCAGCCATCTTATTTTGACTGGGAGTGTTTGCTCAAGAGGGTTTCTGAATTGTTTAATTAGATTTCAGTTAGTCAAGAGAATTATTTTATTCATATTCCCCATCTAAATCAACACCGAAAACATTCAATAAGAGAAGAACATCATGTGAATCATAGCACAAAAAAGTAGCAAAAATGGATCAAAATTCGGTTCGCTGTATCCTGAGATATGTTCTGCCATTGAAAACCCCTTCTTTTGATAAACTAGAACAGATACAAAAGCCTCGAGTATAAAAACCTCATAAAATCCTCCTTCTAGTTATGCTACTTAAACTCGGTCTCTAGTATCTATGTTTACTCAATAGTTGAGGAAAAATCTACGAACCTGAGAAGGTGTCGGTCAAGTTCGACCATTCTCTGCCTCTCTCATATTGTGTTAAGTCTATCTCTATTTTCTAAACTTAACACTAATGAAATAGATAGGAAAGTAATAAATCCAATCCTAACTGTGTTCAATCTTTAACCAAAGCTTAAACATGCACGTTCATGTAAATTGGCTGTTTTGTGCCAAAACGGACTTATAATGCAATTCGGTGCCAGTTTGGCTGGCCAACAAGATGGGTTGACAATCAGAAGCTATATTGTCTTATTCGAATTGATGTGAGACATCAATTACTCTACGCAGCTTACAAAATTGCTTTTCTTTTTTTGCTTTTTTTTATTCAGTTATTTGTTAGATGTTCCAAGCCATAGTCATCTGTCTTCAGGTAGACATACACAGCTAGACAATGACTTGCCAAATGGTCAGCTTATTTGTGAGAAGTGCAATATTCAAGAGATAGTCAACAAAGTCAGAGCTATACCTTGGAATTATTAAGCTCTTTGAGAAAGATTGGTGATTTCATCCTAAATCATCTTTAGATCCAATTCATACAATCAAACAGACACCCTATCTTTTTGGACCAAAGCATAATGTCAAATAGAAGCCCTTTGAAAAGCTTTATGAATGCTGATAACCATGACCTGGCCCGGGTTAGAAAATTGCTATGAGAACTTTTTTAGGAAAACACGTATCCCATCAAAACAATATCGAAGTTCTACGAGATATAGCCATTCGCGTAAGTTTTATGTGGTATCATCAATGCAGCCACATTATTCTTGATGGTTTTTGACAATGCTGGCTGTTCAGCAGGGCAGTTCCAATGATAGTCTTTATAACTTAATTCTTGTGTTTTTGTGGTTCAGGTCACACCAGCTGCTGGCATAATCAAACCTGATCAAGTTGCAGAAGTCTTAGTACATCATGAGGATTTTCGTACCTTGGAAGAGTTTGTGGATGGGATTCCACAAAGCTGGTGGTCTGAAGACACCCGAGACAAGGAAGTGGTTTTGTTAGTTAATGTAAGAGGCAGCTGTTCAACTCAGACAAGAACTCATCGAGTTCATGTGCGTCACTGCTTTGCCACTAAGACGGTCCGAATCGACTCTAAAAGTAGTAGTTCCCGAAAACACCAAGGAAGTTCCCATCAACGGCCTGCGCTTCGACACATGGGCAGTGCCTCTGATATGGCTGATGACCATCGAGATTTACATGGTCTTTGAAGATACATCAAAGGACTGCAATTATAGGACATTCAGAAATGAGTACATCACCCGAGAGAGTTTTAAAGGAAGATGTTCTCATGCAAAGCCACACATTTTCCTCTTTCAGATAGATTTAGGATTTCATTTGTAAATTCATGGACATACATCTCCATTTCATGCTTTTTGGTGCAGATTCCAATTTTTTTTTATCATGATATCTTATGATTAGAACTAGGCCCAAATTTTATTATGTTAATTAATTCTTCAGTGAAAAGCATTCTGCTAAAATCCCTTTGTAATTCATTGACAAACTGTTTGTTCAATAATTTAGTGAGGAAATATATAAGTAGTAGAAGTTGAGAAGTTAATTAATTGATATAGGACATTGATCTCAATACCACGGATGTTGGATGATGGAGCCAATTGGGTTCTGCTTTTGCTATTGAAGTTGTAGAAATAAGCTGTAAATTTAGCAACAAATTACTTTGAAATTTACTGCTGCATCATGTATTTAGTGTTCATATTACATTTACATGCATTGCAATAAATTGATGCAGACATGGATACGGAGAAGATGAGATGAAATGAATTCCGGCGATGCCGTTGGTGTTAGATTTCAAATGGGCTTGTTGTACTTTTCAGCAACTATTCTCCGTGAATTTGGCCTGTTGCCGTCAGTGTGGAAGCCCCAGAATTTACTGGTTCTGCGGCCCAATTCATCTGCTCCTCCTAGACACTCTGGCCATTTAATTATACCATGATCAATTAATTTCTCACTACCGAAAGGCTTGGGGGCAATTACAGTGAAAATGGCAAGGTCTGAAACCAACGTCTATTGCAACACTCAACAAGTTTGATCATATTACTCCAACAAGATTAACTATCACTAATACATATAACATTCACCTATATTGTAGTGGCTAAAGATTGTGAATGCAGTGCTATAAAGTACAGATCATAAAAAAAATAAAAAGAAAACTAGAACCAGACAAGGGTCTGAATGCCGTGACCATTAATTTGATTACAATTCCTTAGTCCACCCTGAAAAATGTGAGTCCTTGGTGCTCCAATCATTCAGGAATGTCAATCTGGAACATGAACTGAGAATTCACATTACCTTAAAGAAAAAATGCTGAAATAAGTAAATACCGGAAATCTAGTTGCCCTAGATGTTTCCATGTTGAAACAAAAATGACTCTTCGATATCTCCTACTCGATGCCATTGAATAATGACAAAAATGTTAACAAAATATAGCATGAATCTCACATAAAAAAAATAATGATAAAAGAAAATCATTCTTGTCAACATGCTGCACAAAGAGATGGACTATGCATAGACACCTCTAGTGTAAGCTTCAGTCGTTGCCAAGCACCTTGTCCCTTGGGTTGCAATCTGATGGTAAGTTGTTGCAAACAATGTACTTGGTTGAATCTTGGATTTGACCTCCTGATAACATTAATAGCATTCAAGAGGTGAAAATAACTAAGGTAATCATCATACATTCACCATTCGAATTTCTGAACCAGGTACACCTGGCTATATAAGACTTGGAAGTTTACTTGAGCTAACTACTGGAGCATATAGATATTATTGCAGAAGCATTCAATTTTACCTTTTCACTAGCTACTACTGAATGCATTTACCCTAAACCGCATACATCCTCTTATGTTTTTCATTACATATCTCTGTATCCGAGGCCATAGACTTCGGGAAAGAACGAGAAAGGGTCTTAGCTCTCCTTATGTTGTGCAACTTCGACTCCAACCTATGATGAATGACCCACCAATTACAGTTGCACACACAGCAAGCAACCTTTCCTCAGGGCCAACCACCACATAGGAATGAAGAGGCAAGCCAACCACATCAGCTTGTTTATTGCAAACACGAGTTGCTTCTTTGCCTTCTGTTCTGATGATGCACAAATTGGTTTGTACACTACCTGTCAAGTAAGTAGTATAAAATACAGTAAAATAAGTTGAGGGAGAGAGAAGACAAGGTTTATAGTGGTTCGGTCAACGTGACCTACATCCACTTTGAATGACAAAGATCGCTGGTATTTTATTAACTTCGATGTGTAAGGAGAACAAAGAGTTACAAGTTTTGAGAGGAGGAGGAGAGAATTATACTCCAATGAGCCTGTTGCCCCCCAACTATTGGTGGGGCTTACAATTTATAGTCGCTCATTATAGTAATTGAATAGCTAGTCTGGCAGTCATAACAGATTGAAGTGACTTTATGGTAATTAAGTAGCTGATCCGGCAGAGACGCATCCTCTTCTCAACGGGCAAGACAGTTATGGTGCTTGAGCTCATCAGTTTCCAAGGCGGCGAGGGGTGAGGCTCTTGAATGCTTCCTTGGTGACTTAGCTCCTTCATAAGCTCGTCCGGGTTGACCACATTGAGCTGGACTTGGTGGATCTCTTGGAGTGAGGCTTTTAACTCGGACTAGGATTATAACATGATTTGGGCTTGGCCCATCATTTGCCTCCCAATGCCCTGCATCTAACGGAACTTGAAAAGGAGGGCATTCAGTTTGAGTTTGAATTTTTAGCTGATCGGCATAATGAAAAAATTTGGGTGGCCAAAACCTGTACTTTTAGGCCTTTTTTGTGCTTTTAATGTAACGGAGCGAAAGTTACAATCAAGATAGTGAGTAGGGAGCTGGTTGCACGGTTTTGGGCGAGCAGGCAGCTTCATGGGCGAGCGGGCAGATGAAGAATTTTTTTTTCTTTTTTTAAAATTTTGGGAGCCCAAAACATCTGTTTCTGGGCCTTTTGTGGACTTTTTTTGAAAAGCTCATTGCCAACAGGAATGAGTTTTGTTCTGCTCATCGAGAGCTTCGATTTTGATATATAATAAGCCCTGTTTGGAGTTACGGTCAAAATAGCCCTTTTTAAATTCATTTTTTATTTTTTATTTTTTAGGAAAGTCCTTTTGGTTGGTGATTTCCTCTCTGGCATCTTATCTGTGGGGCTCCATTAGCTATATAAACTCCTTCTTTCATTCCCCCTTTTGCATTCTTAAAGATCCCTAGGTGGTAATTTGGGACTTTTGCCTCTTTAAAAACCCTAGGCAATAAATAGAAGCTTCCTTCTTCACTCTTGCCCATTTCCTTCAACTTTGAGAGAGGTTCCTTCTTGAAATTCCTTGGAAACCCAAGGCTTGATATTCTTGAGTTTGTGCACTGAGTCATCAATGTCGATTGTAGAGGAAGAGATACAAGCTTCCATTGTCATTGAGAAAAGAAGGGATGCAAGTACCCATTGATATCGAAGAAGGAGAAGCGGGCATTGAAGGCGGTGGACACCTTGGGCGAGTTCTAGGTGCCGTTGAGCATGGTGGAGATGGTTTGGGCGAGCTACCCTTTGCCCATGGTGGAGGTGAGTTGGGCGAGTTGCCCTTTGTTGGTGGAGGTGGTTTGGGCAAGCTAGCCTTTGCTCACCGTGGAGGTGATTTAGGCGAGCAGACCACAAGGGGCCAGGCATGTAGCTTTGACTACGCTGTCCACTCGATGAGTAAAATGGGCGAGTAGGGACGTGCGAAGCACAGCTTGGCGCAAGCAACCTGGGCGCTCGAACTGCCTGGGCACGCGGACAGCTGGGGCGTGCAGCCTGGGTGCATTGCTGGGGCACGCGAAGAGGAGGCGCAGGGCGAGCATGCCTTAGGCGTCCCCCTTTGGCTGCTAATTTTAGGAGTTCAAGCAAGTAGCCTGCTCGTGTTGGGGGCGCGGTGGTCTGGCATGATGAGGGTCAAACATCTCAGGCTGCTGAGTGGAGAGGAGATGGGCGCGCCAAAGGAGGTTTGGGTGAGCTTCCCTTGGTGACAGAGAAGACTGGGCACAGAGTTGCCGAGTTTGGTTCTAGGCAGAGTAGTGATGTCCCGGCTCGTTCAAGTGGAATTTCTCAAAATTTGACTTCTCAAGGCCTCTCTGGTAGGAGCTCAGGTAACTCTTTGTGTCCTTATAAAAAAAAGCACAAAAGCAAAGTAGTGGATGCTGGGTCCAAAGTAAATACCCTTTCTAGTTTGCTTAACACTGATGATGATATTCTGAGGATTGTTTCTGCTCATCACATTCCACCAACTATGCTGTGCCATCGAGCTGAGATGGGTGAGTTCGCCTCTGATGATTCCTCTGGTGACATTGCCATCTATGACGAGATGCTTGAGGCTATGCTCAGGTTCCCCATGTCTCATTCTAGTTGTCGCATTCTCCATTATTTTTCACTCACCCTGGGGTGATTATCACCCAATGGTTGGAGGGTTTTGCTGAGCTTTCTAGTGTTGTGGAGGAAGGTGCACCATGAAGATGCCTCTCCAGAGGAGTTTCACGGAGCTTATACTTTGAATGAGACCCCTGTTCCTAATCGAGGTTGGTATTATTTTAACACGAGAGACAACCTAATCACCGGGCTGCGGTCCAACTGCTATAGTTGGAAATCTCGCTTTATATTTGTCGACGGAGAGTGGGCTGCAGAGGCCGATAGGGCTTTGGTACCTAGAGGATGGGGTGCCTCTAAAAAACTTGGTATGCCTTACACTTGCTTTCTCTCATTTTCTTTTTTTATATTTTTGCATTTTTTTATCATTCCTCTTGTAGATCCTCTTGTGCTCTTCGAGGATCAAGAGTGGAAGCTGTAGGCGGTGAGGGCTTATCCTGAAAAAGACTTTGGAATCCTTATGTCCAAAGATGGTGGGACCAAAAGTGCTCTTGGAGTTCGTGCTACCCCAAAGTCTGACGGCTCCTCTTTGAAGAGGAAGGGTGAGTTGACTTTTTTTATACCTTCATCCCTTACTTGATGTTTTTCATCTAGGTAACACTTTATTTTCCTTGTGATAGTAGATAGGGAGGTGATTGGGTCCCGCCTTTTCAGTAGGAGTCCTCCTCCTTCCAAGGTGGCGAAGATGTCTAAGATGGTGAGGATGGGCGACATCTCCCAAGTGGCCTCTCCAACAGTGCCGTCCAAGGTGAGCTCTCCTCAGTCAACCCCTCTAGTGGTACCTCGGGCACACTCCCCTCAAGTGACCCCTCTAGTGGTACCTCCTCAGTCAGAGACTCCCTCAGTTACATCTCCTACTCCAGAATTCTGCTTGTTGGCCACACCTTCTACCCCCAGCTCATCCATTCCTTTCGTGGGGATTTCTGTTGGGACACCTTCTTAGATTAGCTCCATGTTGGGTAATGCGCGGGTCATCAGGGATCGACTTGGGAGGTTTGTGTTTCCTAATGATATAAATGAGATTAGTACCTTGGGCACTGAGGGAATCCTTAACTTTTTTTTGGAAGGCTGGGCTTAGGTAAGGGTTTGTTACCTCCCCTTTCTCCCATCTTTCCATAAGTGTCTGACTTTGCCTTTTGTTTTTCTTCAGGCCTCAATCGCATCTATGTGTTTAATTTCAAGGACCCTCCTTTATCACCAGCTGAAACACAATCATGAAGTTGTGAAAAATGAGCTTCTAGCTGCTCAGGGGAGGATCGCTAAGCTTGAAGCTACTAGCAGGGCTTTTGATGCTAACCTTGTGAGAGGGCGACTGGTCTTGAGACTGAGCTTTTGGTGACCCATGGGAGGGTGGCTAGGCTTGAGGCTGAGATTGCTGAGGTTTGTGAGAGGGCCATGCTCAGTGAGGTTGAGCTTTCGGCGACCCATGGGAGGGCGGCCAAGCTTGAGGCTGAGCTTGCGGAGGTCTGTGAGAGGGCCACGCTTAGTGAGGCTGAGTTTGCTGAGACCCGCGAGAGGGCCATGCTCAGAGAGGCTGCTACAGAGGCAGAGGTGAAGGCTACTTAGGAAAGAGTTTCTCGGGCTGAGGCGAACTTGGAGAACGGCCTTGCAGATGCTTTCATTGACAGTTATGAGGAGCTCTGGGGAAAGATTTATGTTGCTTTCCCTGATATTGATGTCTCAAGATTCTTGGCAACTGAGGCGCCTGATGACAGTGATGGAGGCTCTGACGATGCCCAGGGTGATCATGAGGATGACCATTAGAGTAGTTAGAGTGCTAGGGACTTTTGATTTTTTTTTTTAGGAAATCATTTTGTAGCCCTACTTTTGTAAAAGTGGTTTTTGCCACTGATACTCCTTTGAAGTTGAATACAAAAATGCAAAGATCTTTTGGTAGTAAGTCTAGAAAGTTTTATTCATTTCACTTCTTGTGTAAAGCAATATCGGGAAATAGCCCCACAAAAAAGTCCAAAAAATAAAACCAAGTCCCTAACTTTTCTACTTTGACTCTCTCAAGGTGTCATTGGTAGTATCTTTTCAAGTGCTTAGCATTCCATGGATGGGACAAAACCTTCCCCTCCGAACTCTGTATCTTATAGGTGCCCGACCTCACCACTTCTGTTATGAGGTAGGATACTTCCCAGCTTGGTCCCATCTTTCCTTCTCGTGAATCCTTTGTGGCGAGGATCACTTTCTTGAGGATCCAGTCTCCTAGTTAAAAGAAATGAGGCTTCACCCTTGAGTTATAGTACTTTTCCATGCGACACTTGTACTTCGTGTTGCGGACCACAACCATCTCCCTTGTCTCCTCTACTAAGTCGAGGTTGATGCGGAGTCTTTCCTCATTGGTGATGGGGTCGTGGTGTTGGACCCTTAGAGAATGCACCCCGATCTTCACAAGGATGGCTGCCTCAGTTCCAAAGACGAGGGAGAAGGGGGTTTCTCCAGTTGGAGTTCTTGGTGTGGTTTGGTAGGCCCATAATACACCTGGGAGCTCATTAACCCAAAAACCCTTTGCTTTTTCAAGCCTTGTCTTTAGGTTGCGTAGCACCATTCTCACCATGACTTTTGCTTGTCCGTTTGCTTGCGTGTGTATTGGGCTGGAATAAGACTGCTTTATTTGTAGGTCGAAGCAGAAGGAGTTTAGGAGCTTGTTGTCTGACTGCTTGGCATTGTCGCTAACAATGACGTGGGGTATCCTAAAGCGATAGATCAAGTTTTTTCAGATAAAATCTTTCACCTTTGCATTTGTTATCTTTGCTAAGGTTTCAGCCTCCACCCATTGAGTGAAGTAGTCCATTGTTACCACCCCAAACTTACACTGTCCTCTACTAAGAGGTAGGGGGCCTAGGATGTCGATGCCCCATTTAGAGAAGGGCCACAGACTTGTGATGATCGTGAGTTCCTCTAGCGGTTGCCTAGGCACAGTGGTGAAGCGCTGACTTGCACTTCTTGGGAAATTCCTAGGCATCCCTCATCATACTAGGCCAGAAGTACCCTTGTCTGAGTGCCTTGTGGGCGAGGGAGTGATTCATGCGTAAAGTTAACAATTTTTACTATGCCTTTTTGGACTAATTGTACTTTGATGGAGTTTAAGTAATGACATTTTAGGTCCTAAAGAGAACAAATGCTCAAGAACAACAAAAATTACACTTGAATGTAACACCAGCACAATAGGGAACAAAATTGAAGAAGGTTGGAACAAAGTAAGAACGTTCGAATGTCAACCCACATTCGAACGTCCTCTAAAATCCTGCCAAGACCAGCTGCTGAGACATAGTGTGTTGCAGTCAACAAAGGGAAAATGCTGAGGTACTTGAGGACAACGTTCGAATTCCACTCCACGTTTGAACGTTGTCTTGAGTGACTGAGGATCAAGTTGCAGAGTGTAAAGTCAAAGTTGTTCAAGACGTATGGAAGTGACCAAGTCAGAGACCACAGGCCACTTGAGTGGAAGGAATCAGACCCTATCTGGCATTCGAAAACCCTCAAAGCAAAGACACAGACAACGTTTGAAAGACATCTCACGTTCGAACGTCCTTAAAGAAAAGACAGACTTAACGTTCGAACGCCAGATTATGTTCGAACGTCCTCTGCAAACTACCTGCAGAGTAGCTGGTTCCTATGGGCGACAAACACTATTCACTCACCCTCTCTTATCTCCTACCCTCCCCTCCCCTTCCTTGCCTATAAATACGCCCATGTTGGGAGCTTAAAGGGCATTCTTCCTCTTGTAGAGAAAAGGGGGAGCAAACCTTGTTCTTGTAAAGTAAGAGTGTTTTAGTAATCTAGTTCTTGAACATTTCATGTTTATGTTTTCATTTTGCCTTTATATCAATCATGAGAGAGGCTTAGACTCCTCTTGTAGTTGAAGTCTTTTATTTACTTATGCTAAGTCTTTACATTCATGTTGTGACAACCATAATGGAGGCTTAGACTCCCCTTGTAGTTGTACGTGCTTTTATTTACAAAGTATCAAGAGGGATAGTTCATCTTTTGGTTGTGGTGGAAACCCTCCAAAAGTAACAACCTTTTTTTTACTTTTATTGTTCATGTATTTCACTTCCATTGCTTGAGCATCCTTCTTTCTTAGAAGAGTGAAACTCTTCCACTTTTCTAGAGCTTTACCGAAGCCATGAAGGGTGGAAAGTGATTCACTTATTCTTCATTGAAGATAAGCTCTTGTTTAGTTTACTTCATTTAGTAGCTCCTTTACTTAGAGGGATGAGTAGCACTCACTTTTCTAGCTTTGCCAAGGCCATGAAAAGTGAGTAGTTCCTCATTCACTCTTTAGTGAGAGGTGATGAATATGTAAAGATTATCTGGAAGTTATGCTTGTGCAACTTCTTCATGCTTTAATGCTTTATACTCCACATGTTCATTGGATGATTGAATGTATTTAGCAAAGTTGAGCTACTTTCTATAACCAAGGGCTCCATCT